GGAGGAGGAGGAGGAGGAGGAGGAGGAGAGGGGAGGAGGAGGCGGAGGGTGGGTGGAGGAGGAGGAGGAGGAGGAGGAGGAGGAGGAGGAGGAGGAGGAGGCGGAGTCCAGGCGGAGGAGGAGGAGGAGGAGGAGGAGGGAGGAGGGAGGAGGAGGGAGGAGAGGAGGGAGGAGAAAGAGGAGGAGGAGGAGGCGGGAGGAGGAGGAGAAGGAGGAGGAGGAGGTGGAGGAGGAGGAGGAGGGAGGGAGGGAGGGAGGGAGGAGGAGGAGGTGGCGGAGGAGGAAGAGGTTGAGGGGCGATTGGAAGAGGCACAGTGCAGCACGCCGGCATCCACCCAGCAGCGGGCGTCACGCCGGCGTCCACCCGGCAATGCTGGAGCAGCCGCGGTGGAGGGCGAGGGGGCGGAGGAGGCTGGGTCAGGCGAGGAGGGAGGTTCCCTCGGAGGCGCTTCTGGTCGGGAGGCTGCATGCGTCCTCAGGCGGACTCGTCTCCAGAGAACCGTTGCGTGCGCGCGGTGTGAGGTCACCCTCCAGCCTCACGTCAACTTGTGGTGCTGTGTGCAGTGCAAGCGCTACTACTGCGCGAACTGCAGGCCGGGTAAAGACGCGTCGTACGCGCTGGAGTGCCCCGCGGCCGCAGCGGCTGCGCCGGCCCAGCAGCCAGGGCAGCGACGGCTTCAACATCATCCAGCCCCCCGCCTTCCTGAGCTCAACTTGGGACATGGGGGAGCTGCATCGCGGGTCCCGTGAGGAGCCGGGTGTCGAGTCTGCCCGGCCTTTGGCTGCTGCAGGGGAGTCCCAGGAGGCCGCTTCCGATGTCGGTGCTACCATCCAGACGCTCTTGGAGGAGGCTGTGCGCTACCCGATGCTGCCTACGCTCCTGGACGTGCCGATGGACCTCCTAGTTAGAGCTACCGAGCTCTGGAGGCAGTGTTTGGTAGCCCTCCGAGCTGCATCTGGTGACCGTGAGGCTTCGGAAGATCGGCGCAGACAGGCTTCACTGTGGGCCTACGTGCTTCCTGGGCTGTTGCTGCGGCGCCCGCGCGCTACACCAGTTCCAGGAGGAGGTCCTGGCCAAGGCGAGGTCTCGTTAAGGGCAGTGCTCCGACATCGCTTGAAACGCTGTGAGGTCGCCGAGGTTTGGCTGTACCGCGAGGACGATGACCAAATGCCCTGATGGACGAGCCTTCCGCTGCGGTACCAGGGCGTACTGTTGCTGACGACCTTGCCGGTTGGAGGCGCGCGGTCGCATCTGTGCACGGCGATTGCGTGGCAAGGCGGAGGAGGGAGGTAAGAGGCGACAGAGCGCCGCCGCGCACGGAGGAGACCAGGGAGGAGGTCCTCAGGCTCGCAGCGGCGCCCGTCGATCAGGGCGTCTTCAGGAGGAGCTTGGGCCGCTACTACGGGAGGCCCGAAAGGCAGCAGCTCCGAAACGGGCGTCCATGCGAAACCGCATTTTCGGCCCGACTTTCAGGCGAGGGGCGGCCCCTGGGCCATCTGGAATCCGCAACTCCTATATCAAGATGCTGGCAGAAATGCCAGGCGGATCCGAGGCTCTGAGAGGCTTCGCAGAGGTCGAGGTGAGGAGCCTTTGGTCCGAGGAGGACCACATTCTGTGGCATGCGGGTTTGGTTGAGCCGTCGGATTGCGGAGAGAGGAGTGCCGTGGATGAGGACGCCGCCCCTCCCCGCAAGCTTCGCCCCATCGCCCAAACGGAGGCGCTTGTGAAGCTGATTGAGACTTCTGTCATCGATGAGTACATCGAGGAGCTGAGGCAGCAGCTGGAGCCGCATCAGCTGGGCGTAGCCACCGCGGATGGCCCCATCATCGCAGTGAAGGTGCTGCGGGGGTGGTTGGCCGCGATTGAGGACGAGGTCGAGGAGGAGGGGGCGTCATTGGATCCGGAGCAACTGGCGGAGGCGCAGAGCATCGTGAAGCTGGACTTGGAGAACGCGTACGGCCGCTTCTTCCGGTCGCGTGCGCTGGCTGCGGGGAAGTCCCGTTGCAGGCGAGTGGCAGGTTTGGCCGCGGCCCAGTGGAGGGTCGGCCACGTGCGCCTGTGGCAACGCATGCCGCGTGGCCAATGGGCCTGCGACCCGTCCTGCCGAGGAGGCTTCCAGGGCTCGCGTTTGGCCCGAGTCATGTTTGCACTGCACCTCGAGGGGATCTTCGGGGAGCTGCAGGGCGAGTGCGAAGGCCTTGGCAGGATCGGCGTTGCGGATGACAAGTACTTGGCTGGCCAGCTCCGCCGTCTTGTTGGTCTCTGGCCGGCGTTGGAGGCCAAGCTGGAGGAGCACGGACACCGGCTGCAGGCGACGAAGTCAAACGTCCTGGTGCCAGCGTGGGACGTGCGAGGTGCGGCTGAGGCCCCCCTTGATACCCAGCATTTCTTCGAGAGCGTGCCCAGGGTACACGGGGCAATGCAGTTGCTGGGGACGGCGGCGCAGGGCCGCCAGGAGACAGCGCTCGGACCTTGGGCCGCCATGGCTAGCTCGGCAGAAACACGCGTTGGGGCCGCCTGCGAGGATCTTGCTCGACTTGAGGTTGCGGTGCGCGCCAGGGTGCACGTCGAGGCCGACCAGGCCTTGTGGTCAGTGCTGCAGCGCTCCATCAGCAGGGCCCTCGACTACGACATGCGCGTCTGTCCTTGGGAGTATATCGAGTCACGCGCATGGAAGCTGGAAGAGGCGTGCTGGAGGGCGTTGGGCGTGCTGCTTTCTGGCCCCCTGGATGCGCAGGCTCGCGCGCAGGCAATGCTCTCAGGGGCGCTCGGTGGCTTGGCGCTCGGGCTCCCGACGCGCACGAGGGCGGCGGCAGCTTTCCAGGCGACGCACGCGGCGCACGCGCAGGCAGCAGCCCTTCTGTCTGCGAGGCTTCGTCGGCCCCATAATGGCCGGCAAGACGACGAGGCTGCGCGTCGTGCTGCCGAGGTGCTTCGGGATGCAGGCGTGGACGTGCGAGGCGGAGAACCGACGTTCACAATGGCTGCGCGGCGCCGGTATGAGGCTGGGCCTTGGCATAGCGACACCCCCACCAGCGAGGTGTTCAGATTCCCAGTTCACCCCACGCGGTCTGCTGCGCCGGGGTCTGCCCCTGTGGTTGCGGCAGGACCCCCTCGAGCCCAGCGTGGCCATGTCTACGGGAGGACGCTGCGCGGCCTGGACGCGCTGGCGGCCACCGAGCTGCACGCCGAGCTGGACGTCCACCGCCAGACCAGCATGCTCCAAGCAGGCGGCCCTGGGAGCGGCAGCTTCTGGAGCACCGTTCCGGACCGCCCCGCCCTCCGCATGGCAAATTCGCAGTGGGCAGTGTCGACGAAGTGCCGCCTAGACATTTGCAGGGCGCCGCAGGCTGGCCTGACCTGCGCGCTACAGAACAGAGGGGATGATGAGCCTTGCGGCGCGCCGCTCGATTCCAACTTGCATCACCCCACTGTCTGTCGCGCGGGCGCGGGCCGACTGAGAAGCCACACTGCCGCGGTGGCGGTGCTCATGAAGCACTTGCGGGCGACTGGCGCTTTTGTGGCGCTGGAGGCAGCAATCCCGGAGTTGTACCGCATCGACGACGACGACGACGGCGTGGTGCACGAGCGCTTCATGGACCTGGTGGTCTGGTGGCCAGGCGGCAGCCGCCGGTACCTGCTGGACTTGACCATCAGGTCGCCGTTCGCCGCGGGGTTGACCACCCCGCATCTGCTGCCCGGCGCGGCGGCGCGAGAGGGCGAGAAGGACAAGACGCGGCACTATGGGGTGGTCGTGCTGCCGTTCGCGATGGAGCCCGGGGGCCGCCTTGGCCAAGCGGCCCTGCAGGCGCTGGCGACTTTGCACCGTGAGAGTGCAGAGTTCGGGCGCCTCCGCCCGGGCACGACGAGCGCCAGCGCCTTGGCCCTCGGCCGCTTGCGCGCTGACCTGGAGGCGGAGGTGGCGCGCCACGCCGCCCAGACGCAGCTGGCCGCGTTGGGGGGCATGTCGCTCCGGGCGCTGGGCTGGGCCACCGGCGCGCAGCAGTGGCGGCGGAACGACGCGCACGGCAACTGAGAGGAGGGGTTAGCAAGCTTAGCATGTGTTGGTGGTGGGACGGACTGTGGATGTACACGGAGGAGGGAGAGAGGGAGGGAGGGAGGAGGGAGGGAGGAGGAGGGATGAGGATAACTGGAATCGGCGGAACGATGCCCACCGCCGGGCAGGCCTGGTGCCCGAGAGCCCCCCCTCCCGAGCGTTTTTGGACCGAGGCTCGACCCTCTGGGGGGCAGTTCTTTCGCGTCGGGGCGCAGGGGGCCGGGGCGGCAGCGCCGCACGCCGAGGGAGCGCCAACAGACCTCCTATTTCTTCTCCTCCTTTCTCCTCCTCTCTCCTCCTCCCTCCTCCTTCTCCTCCTCCTCCTCCTCCTCCTCCTCCTCCTCTTCCTCCTCCTCCTCCTCCTCCTCCAGGAAAGGTGTCGGCTTGCGATCTTCGCTTTTTTGTCGGGGACCTTCCACTCAGAGAAGACCTGCGTGCTGCGCCAGGGCAATTCTGGCGCGTCTGGGCGCGCTTCTGGGGGGCAGGGGCTGCAACTCCACGCGCCGAGGGGACTCCAATGGACAGGGGAATGTGCCTGCCCAGACATCCGGCTTTCGGTCTGGACCACTCTCCCAGGGCCGCCCTTTCGTCACGAGTCGTCTCTTGACGGTCCCGAGGCCCGGCGAGGGCCCCTGGAGTCCGAGAATTGCCAAAACACCGCCGTTCATTTTTTCCGAGCGTCGGATTTCCGGGTGCTTTCGATCTTTGCTTTCTCTTCGCGGACTTTACACCAGAGAATCTGCATTTTGCGCCAGAGCCCGCGATTGTCGATCTGCGTCCCAAGAGAGACTCAACGCCGCACGGCTAAAACAGAGCATCTGCACTACAAGACGAGCCGAGGAAGAATATTGCAGCACCAGCTGCACGCTCGAGGCCTGGCGGCCCGCTGCTGCCTGCTGCCCCCGACGCGTCCGATCTCCGATCCTCCCGCCGGCCGCCGAGGCCAGCGGGCGTCGCGCGAGGCGCTGGCCACCGGCTTCGTGTCCCTGCAGGTCGGCGGCGCCCACCGGGGGCACGGCGCGAGGGGGGGGGGAGGCTGTCTCCCTCAGAGAAGGCGGGGGGGGGGGGCGCAGGGGGGGGGGCTCCTCGGAAGCCCGCCCGGCGTCCGAGGGGCCCTCGCAGAAGCCTCCGGGGCCCTCCAAGACGCCCCTTCCGCCAAGGTAGTCGAGGAGCGACAAGTTCCAGAAGTCTAGCAGAGCGAAGGTCGGCGCTGATTGCTTGGGCCGGCGCCAGGGAAGGCGCTGGAGGCGCCGCCTTGGGGCTCCAGCGCCGATCCAAGAAATCCGCGCAGACCTCCGAAAGTTTGTGTGTATGCATGTTTGTTTCGTTCGTCGATTCTAAGATGCCCCTCCGCCTTCTCAGAGCTCGAGATCCTGCGTCACGAAAAGATGCCACATCGCGGAAGATCACAACCGGAGCCCTGGACCTTCTCTAAACGACGCAAAAAAAAGGTGCCGTCTGCGCTGACATTGGCGCGTAAGCTGCCCGCGCAAGGTCGCGCGTAAGCGCCCGCGTTTCCAATGTGGCGCGCCGCGCCAGCGGCCCGCGTAAGCCGCCGCGTAAGGTCGCTACGCCATCTCGCGTAGTGCCCGCTTCGGATCGTCGCTCATGTGGAGCGTTCCAGAAATGGCCCTCCCTGCGAGGATCGAAGGAGTTGTCATCTCTTCCTCGGCGGAAGGGGGCGGAAGGGCGGCGGAAGTAAAACGAGGCCGCCCCCGCTGGCGGAAGCCGGCGGAGGGGCGGCGGAAGGTGACGGACGTAAAAGATGCGCCTCCAAGAGATGAGAGCGTTTCTGGGTTCAGGGTTTCCGGAATGAGTCGGATCGAGCCCTCGTCTCATTGTGGCTCGCCGCGCTGGTGGCCTGCGTAAGCCGCGGCGTAAGATCGCTGTGTCATCTCGCGGAAGGCCCATGTTTGATCGTCGCTCTCCAGGCCTCCCAGATGGGGTCCGCGTAGGTGTGGTCGGAGGATCGCGCCGCATCGCCGATGCATCGACGATGCAGCTCCATGCTCCTGGGTTCTGAACCATTCCTCTTTCTATGTTTCTGGATTCTGGATTCTACGCTCCTGGATTCTACGTTTTTGGGCGAGAGATGTCCGAGAGACGTCCTCCTCCTCCTCCTCCTCCTCCTCGATCCTCCTCCTCTTCCTCGATCCTCCTCCTCCTCGATCTTCTGGAGATGCGCTAACGGCGATCTAGGCCGGTGCGATGTAGGCTTCAGCATTGTAGGGGGCGGGGGTTCGTGGCCATTCCGATTGTAGGAAAGCGTGATTCGCGGTCTCCTGCAATGCTCCGTGTCGTCTTTGCTCGGTACATTCACGTGCCTGACATGTAGTAGCGTGTGGTCTTCGATTGCGAAGGCCTCACCGCCGGTGCCGCCGACCCTGAAGGGAGACGACGAAGAAAGCGACGATGAAAATATTCAAAAAGCTAAGGGATGGAAGGTAGGAGGAGAAGGGCACGGAGGAGGTGAAGGGGAAGGGGAAAAGGATGGAGGAGGGAAGACAATTTGGAGGATGAGTATTGAGGAGCTTGATAGCGGAGGAGTCGCCATGGATTCGCCGTCGACCAGGATGCGGGTGGTGTGTCGCCACCAAGACAAGGGGCAGCGCGGTACCTTTTTTTTCTGTGTATACACCGTCCGTCGGGCTGCCGACGACGACGACGCTGACGTGGGTCAGAGTCCTCAGGGATGATTCTTGCGGTCTGGTCGAAACGCTCTTGGGGGCCTCGGGGGACAGTGTAGGGGTCTCTTGGAAGCCTCTTGAGGGCCTGTTGAGGCTTCCTGGGGGCCTTTCGGGAGCATTTTGGGGTCTCTTCGGGGCATCATTGGGGCCTTTGGGGGGCCTCTTGGTTTCTCCTGGGAGCACTCGGGGCGGAGGGCTCGAAATGTCCG